CGGACCTGCCTCTACGTCACCCTTTCAGGCCGTCCAAGCGTTATGAAAACTGCCGATTTACCCACAAATTACCCTTCTTAATGACTCCCGTAAAGATGATGATCCACGAAAAAATTCTTAACAGCAATTACGTGATTACAAAGCTACAATTTTGTCTTGATGGAACACAATGTTACCGTATTTTAAATTTATTACACAAAAAAATTATCATACCACGTCGATTACATACGGGCAATTGTATATTTAGGCTACATATACTGCAGCACCTCGGCTAAACTGATAATGATGTAAAGTTTTGATTGAATAAGTCAAGATGTTACAATAAATACCATATCAACATCTCAGCTTCGTGTGACCTTGGCTAAACTTGTTTTCGACCGAGACGCTACAATAACCTTGACTACAAGCAATCTCAACTTAATTTATAGCGGAAAGTGAATATGATTGGTATTCATTGAGCAAAGAGCGTTAACTCAGCCGAAACGTTGCAGAATATGTTAACTAAATTAGGTCGATATGGAATTAATTGTAATGGCTCGGCCGCAAACGACCTTGATTTGTCAGGATCCTATATTTTTCTGGATTTTGCCGAAGTCGCTTGTGTCACAACTTCTTTACCAGAATTGAATCGGAGTGGTGTTAATTGTAGCGCTACAATTAATATCATAAACACATACACCTCCAATTCGAAATAATAATGGAAATTGGGCTAAGACTTAATTTGTTAGCAGAACATCTGAAAGAAACTTTTACATCACACAGTCCAACAACTATGCTAAATAATTTTGCACATAATTAATGCTGCTTTTAAACAGAAATACTTCTCCCCACAGATGTTCCATCATATAGGCCAATCTCATTATTACCCTTACTATTAAAACTGCTTGAAAAATTACTATTAAAAAGACTAAACCTGTCATAGAAGAAAAAGCCCTAATACCAACACATCAATTTGGGTTTCGGAATAAACATGCAACAATAGACCAAGTGCATAGAATAATGAATACTATCGAAATAGCAATGGAAGAAAATAAAGTCTGCTCCGCCGTATTTCTGGATGTTGCACAAACTTTCAACAAAGTCTGGTTAGATGGCTTAAATTACAAACTAGACCAAATACTACCATCAACGAATAACTATTAAAATCGTATCTTTCTGACCGATATTTTAGAGTAAAATACGAAAACACTTATTCACCACTACATGAAATACAAGCCGGAGTTCCTCAAGGAAGTGTGCTTGGCCCAACACTGTACTCTACACATTCGACCGTCCTCAGGTACCAGAAACTTTAACAGCTACGTTCGCAGATGACACAGCGATCTTAGCTGTTGCAGAAAATGAAGTAGTTGCAGCAAATAAGTTACAATTGGCCTTAAATTTAATAGAAAACTGGACCAAACGATGGTTAATAAAACTAAATACAAATAAATCGACATACATAAACTTTACTTATAAGAAAGTAAACTATGTCACAGTACACATAAATGGCAATGCAGATTTACAATTTTAGACACCTATATTGGCTTATTGGCAAAAAATCAACACTATCACTAAGTAACAAGTTGCTAATATACAGGCAAGTATCAAAACCAAAATGGACATACAGAATCTAACTGTGGGGTTGTACCTGCAAGACAAATGCAAACGGTAAAAATATGATAATATTTATCTATATTATGGGTAAAGCAGACTGGACCACTGGGAAAAGCTGCAAAACATTATCTAGTTTAATTTGGTGTTAAAAATAAGTAACTAATTAGTATGTATTTACTAGGTGTTATGCAATTGTGCTATGCATAATATTGAAAAAAAAATTTCTGAACAATATCAAATCAGATCAGGTAATACAAAATTTTAAGCCAACGTCGTTTGCGGTTCGTTTGACATTTTCCAAACTATCTTTTATGCAGGGTTTCCCGTTAAGGGTACGGACCGGTTGTATCTCAATAACGGTAAGGGCTAGAGGTTTGGGAAAAAAATCCCAAAACTTTCGGGACGGAGCTACAAGTTTTGAACGAGCGAAGAAAAAAATTTGGAAATTTGGGGATCACTAAACAATCACAAAAACTACATTTTTAGATAGTTTAGAAGTTTCATGCAATGTAGAGTTTTTTGATGAGATGATCAACCCTACATTTTTAAATAGCAACCCCTATAGAGTTTTACCTTATTTCAAAAGTAATGGAAAAAAAAACACAACCCCATAAACCAAAACCCGATATCTTAATTCTTTCAAGAATTATGAGGGGTTGACTACCAAATGGGAAAATGGTAATTGAACGAAGGTGACTTCGAAAGAAGTTTGGAATTCTGTGGAAAATGTGATGTTGACAGAAATTTTCTTGTGAACCTTGTTTTCTCTGATGAAGCTACTTTCTACTTGAATGGTAAGGTTAATAGGCACAATTGTCGTTATTGGAGTGACGAAAATGCACGTTTAATAAGAGAAGGTCATACTCGGAGATCGCAGAAAATTAATGTATGGGCTGGTATTATGGGAGAGAATCTTGGTCCATTTTTTATTAATGGAAATTTGGACGAAGACAGATATCTGCATCTGTTAGAAAATCAAGTGGTTCCAAGTGTACGTGCCGTATGGTATTGACAATAAGTGGTTCCAAGAAGATGGTAGTCCTCCATATTTTAGAGACTTTTTTTTGTCCGTACGTTTCCAAACCATTGGATTGGTAGTAGAGGTGACATTGAGTGGCCACCACGATCTCCTGATCTAACACCATTCGATTTTTTCTTTTGGGGATTTCTGAAAAGTAGAGTGTATGCAACAAAACCAGAATCAATCAATGACTTGGAAAATCGCATACTTGAAGAACCACCAATATCACTTGGGATATGCTCCTGATGGTTCAAAATTCCATCTATGAGCGTTTGGGTTATTGCGAGACCGAAGAAGGTGAACATTTATTATAAAAATCGTAATAAAAGTGCAAAAAAGCATGAAAACATTTCATTTTCCCATTTGGTAGTAGTCAACCCCTCATAATTCTTGAATGAATTAAGATATAGGGTTTTGGTTTATGGGGTTGCGTTTCTTTTTTCATTACCTTTAAAATAAGGTAAAACTCTACAGAGGTTGCTATTTAAAAATGTAGGGCATTTAATAATGTCATATTTTCCCTGGTTATTGGATTTTCTTGAAAAGTCAGGTCGTTTAGTCTACCTCATAGATAAAGGAGTGAAAGCACTGTGGGTTTTGCTCGATCCAAGAATGCATATTATGCAAGTTTACACCAGTTTGTTGAAAGATGCTTCATTCATCTCTGACTATCTCAACAAATCTGACTTTCTGAGATAGCGGGAATTTTATGTTTCTTTATGGCAGTTACGCCCGCTAGCGGGCGAATTACAAACTCCAAAATAATTTTCAGCTAATTCTCTTGCCCACTTTGCTTATAAGGATTTTTTTCAAAAACCTCCAGGCCTTACCGTTGTCTGTATAGATACCAGTGGTAAGATCCCCAAACCAAACTGCACTCTACTCAATCTATTGAACGGAATCACCACAGATTTAAACGAAGCGGGTTTAAGCTCTTGGGTTCATATGGAATTAATTGTAGAACCTCGGCCGCAAGCGACATCGGCTTATTTAGGCGACATCATACATTTCCACCACAGATTTAGCCGGGGCGCTACAATTTGTTGACCACCTTTGGTGTAATATATTATTAATTAACTTATTCCGTACATTATCACGATAAATTATTTGAGACATTGGAATACATTGACAAGTTTTTCTAAAATCTCAGCCGCATGTGACCTTGACCGAATCAAATAAAATTGGCTATAAGTTTAATCAAGGTCACTTATGCCCGAGACGTTACAACCACCACATATTTATTTAATTAACATTAAAATTTTGCTTATAAATACATGAAATAACGTTTTGGTCACCATTGGAGTCAAATAGTACTAAATGTAAAGCCTCGGCTGCAAGTAACCTTGGCTTATTTAGGCAACATCATACATTTCCACCACAGATTTAGCCGAGGCGCTACAATTTGTTGACCACCTTTGGTGTAATATATTATTAATTAACTTATTCCGTACATTATCACGATAAATTATTTGAGACATTGGAATACATTGACGAGTTTTTGTAAAATCTCGGCCGCGTGTGACCTTGACTGAATCAAATGAAATTGGCTATAAGTTTAATCAAGGTCACTTATGGCCGAAACGTTACAACCACCACATGTTTATTTAATTAACATTAAAATTTTACTTATAAATACATGAAATAACGTTTTGGTCACCATTGGAGTCAAATAGTACTAAATGTAAAGCCTCGGCTGCAAGCGACCTGGTCTTATTTAGGCAACATCATACATTTCCATCACAGATTTAGCCGAGGCGCTACAATTTGTTGACCACCTTTGGTATAATATATTATTAATAAACTTATTCCGATGAAAACGTACATTATCACGATAAATTATTCGAGACATTGCAATACATTGACAAGTTTTTGTAAAATCTCGGCCGCAAGTGACCTTGACTGAATCAAATAAAATTGGCTATAAGTTTAATCAAGGTCACTTATGCCCGAGACGTTACAACCACCACATGTTTATTTAATTCACATTAAAATTTTACTTATAAATACATGAAATAATCGTAATTAAAAGACTTGGTTAAGTTATGAAACGGTTCCCAGATGTTAAATTGAACCTTAAGTCCAATGATCGCATTACTAAGGTTTTTTAATCCGTTCAAAACATAGCTATAGTTTACGATCGAGTAATAAAATTTCATACCGTTTTTACGATCAGCAAGCTACTCAATTGCGAGAGTCTTCCCGGACAGCAAAAAAGAAGCTTAGCGAAACAGTTACTTATCTAATGCCGTAACAGCGGAAAATGCGAATACGCGAAACAGATGGTCGCGGGCGATTAAAACGCGTTAATTTTAATCATACCCAAAGTAAGATTAATGCGACCGCTTAATGTAAATAGTGTGAGCTCGGTTTGGCGTTCTAAAAATTCCCATTAAACTCGATACAGGTGATCCGGCGTGGTCTGGTAGCAGCCGTGCGCAATCAAGTTGGCGATTATGGTAATGTTAGTAGTGATATTCTCTGCGTTGCGGTGAATTATATCCCCATGAATGGCAGCGAACGCTGCTTGATACCGGTATTATGCGAGTAGTTGTGATGAATAAACATCGCCCTACAAATGCAAATTTGTTTAACGATTTCGTTAAGTTTGGAAAATTGTGTTATCGTTTAATTATTTATTTATATTGTATTAGCGTACATAGTAAATCATAAAAAAATAAATATATCTTATACATTACATTTAAGAATATATCCACAAATAAAAAAACTATTTGCGACGCTTTTGATTTAATTTTATCCTATCATCGATGGCGCTTCTCTTGATTCTATGTGCGGTTAAAGCGAGTTTAGCAGCTTCCAATCTGGTGCTGTGAAAATCTAATAAAGCTTCCCGCAATTCCCGTTTCTTCCTAATTGCATTTCTTTTATTTCTCATTGCATTCTCTTTAGCTTCGTGTGCCGCACACGCTGCTTTAGCAGCGGCTTTCTTAGTGTTGGCCAAATCAGCTTTTGCTGATTGGAGTTGTCTCATTAAAGCTTCCTCGTGATTTTTGGCCGCTTCTAATAATTGTTCTTTTTCGCCAATTTCTTGTTGTGCTCCTTGAGCTGCTTGTTCGGCGTTAGCAGCGTTGGCTTGAGCTACTTGTAAAGCGTTTGTTAAAAGTTTTACTTGCGCTTGTGATTCTTGAGCCGATTGAAGGGCAGCGTTTAAAAAGGCTTGTCCTTGTTGGAGGCTGTTACTTTCTTCTCTTTCAACTTCTTCGGCTTCGTGTACTTCGTTTTGTAATTGTTCAACGACCGCTTGTTTACCTGCTAAAGCCGCTTCGGCTGCTTCGGCGGCCTCCAAAGCTTTTTCGGCTAATTGTTCTTTCACTTGGTGAGCTGCTTGTTGGCCAGCCACCATTTGAGCTTCTTGTGCAGCTTTAGCTTCTTGAGCGGCTTTTTGGGCGATACTTGATGCTTTTGATTTGCCAACTTCCCCGTTCATTGGCACCCCTGAACATTGGGGATCAGATCCGTCAGCATGCACAGATATTGTTAGATATATTAGGTAGGTTGCCAAAAAGACGCCTACCTTCATTACTAATTATTAACAAAAAATTATTTTTTGATGTATGCATCTGACGTGAAACGTCATCACGTTTTCTTTGACAAATTAAAATTGGCCACTTGTTTTTTAATAATAATTTTGACAAGTGTTTTTAGTAGGGATAAGTTTATGTGGGAGTTAATCATTTTTTTCAAGGACTTCTTTTCCTATACGCAACGGTAACGAAGCGAAAGCGACGAAGAAAAACTCGCCATGGGAATCGGAGGCGTATTTGCATTGGGAAAGACGTGGGTCCGACCAATTACCGTAATCATTGGTTTGAATAATGACCGCGGCGCCATTACGACGACGTAGCCTTTGTTCGGATTTCGGCGTCCAATGGATTTTTTACAGACGTGGCCGTTTAAACTGTCCCAGCTCTGGGGAAATTGCCGCGAAATGCCGGATCAGACGTGACCGGGTGAAATCCGACCTTATCGCATTCACGAATCCACGAAGATGATGCATGATGCTTGCTTGGGCGCGCCAATTATCCTCCCGCTTTGCTTGGTGCTCTCCATCTGGTGCTAAAGCGCAACTAATAATTATAGGGATATCCCGATTAAGATGGATCACAAAGTTATCTAAAAAAATTTCTTTGTAGATAAATTTATGAGCTATTTTTAGACGAGGAGAATGTAGGTTTAAGAATTACCCGTGCGACGATAGCAACAAACTTTTACCTATCTACTTCTTAGATATCTTGCTTATTATTAGAGAATCTTTTTCTATCTAATTGTGTTTTAAAATAAATATATTAATTTTTATTTATTAAATTTGTGTTTTATATCCACCATACTTAAATCTAGGTGACGCCATTTTCATAAAAAAGTCCCTAGATCTCTAGTTACTTTTAGTACCAACCTAATTTTTTCCCCCCAAATTTCAGTTGGCACCGCTTCCTATAATTAATACATTGAGACGTGACGTCACCGCAGGATTGGCAGGATTAATTTCTGGTCTAGAACCGGCATTCTTACACTACTAGCCTTTTTTAAACCTTGTTCGTGTGATAACTTTCTTATATGAGCAGGAGAAAACTCTAGAACCATATCTATCTTATCGAAAATTTTCTGCTCTTTTTAATGGTGTTAATTTCCCCCACTTTTTTCCCTCACCAGCGTATTATACGCTAAAAAATCAGGACACTTTGTGATTACATCCCATACTAGTAGAGTTACTAGTAGATATACTATTAGATTTTAAATTAAACGTCATTGTTTTCTTTTTCAAATGGCAATCCCCCATTTTTATTACGGAACATGAAAGAGGGTTCTTTTCTGAATCTAGTATTTATAGTAGTCAATAATAATTTAAAGTTTTACTGCCTCAAATTTGTTGACATGGTAAAAATAGCAGTAGCCATGAGTAGCTATAGTAACCAATTATTTTAAACAATTTTCCAAGTGTCAAAAACTGATTTAGTAAGTAGTTGACCTCTGTAATACCACATGTCCTGATCTCCAACTCATTAGCCAAAGTATGGTGAGAATGTTTCAGTGGAGATTCTACAAAACGAGGTTTTGGCTGGGCAAGAAAACCCTCATGTTACTATAAGGGGTATTGGGTCTAATTTGGACATTAGTAAATCAACGGTTCTGAAAATTTTAAAACCCGCAAAGTATCATTCCTATAAAGTAAACCTCATTCATGAGCAATGAAAAGTAGTTTTTGCAACGATGATATTAAGTTTTTTTTTTATGTTTCACATTAAGTGAACAAGTCAATAGACAAAATTGTCGATATTGGGTTACCTAAATCCAAATTAACCAAGAAAGTCCGCAAAAGATTTGAGGAAACTGGAAAAAGATGTTTAAATTGTTGACCCAACTCAATTCCAACGGCAGTTATTCCAACAAGATGGCGCACCACCACAGCTACTAAATCAGTTTGACAGTCAGGGAATTGTTTAAAATAATTGGTTACCATAGTTACTCATGGCTTTAGTATGGTTACCATAAATTTGAAGTAATTAAACTTTCAAGTAATATTTCTCGAAAATTTTGTTATGTAACCAGTATTAATATTGAATGTACTAGACTCAGAAAAAAAAATTCTTTCATATTCCGTAATAAAAATGGGGGATTTTTGGGATCCATAAGCCGCTCATAATGATTTTGACACAGGTAGTCGTGACAAACCCTGTCACAAATGAGACTTAACTAGAAACAGAAAAATCCACAACGTTAGTAGTTTTTGGCGCAAAACGTGTTTTGCAAACGCGTTATCACCATGGGCGCTGGGTAAATACCCGGTGGGTAGGTATTTCTAAAATGGGTGTTTATCCGGGTATTTACCCCAGCCCAGGGTAAATACCCAAACAGTGGGTATTTTTATATCTTGAAGACGAGGAATTGTCAACAATCAAAGACGCATTATCATTAAACGAATCTGTCGTAATTTAGATTAGATCAAGTTATTATGATTATTATCATCAAGCAGCCCTCTGCGTCCATTGTTACATAAACCTCCCTTATTCTGTTTCATTCGATTCTATTCTGTGCTGTCTGAATCCAATTGTTGGTCATTCTTTTAACGTCTACTTCGTCTGTTCGCTCGCGGTCTCCACTCAAGCAACCGTCTTGACCACTGCTCATTCTTCATTCTCGCGACATGATCCGCCCAGTTCCACTTAAGCTTTGCCACAATGTTGACCACATCAGTTACGCCAGTTTTTCTTCATAGGTCTTCTTTTCGTATGTAGTCCCTCAGAGTACGACCCAGGATCGACCTCTCCATCTATCTTTGCGTTACTTGGACCCTCCTGGCAGTGGCTACTGTTAATGTTAAAGTTTCGGAGGCTTATGTCATAACCGGAAACACGCCTTTCTTGTCCTTTTCTCTTGAAGATGTCTCTAAGTTTCCCATAGGCTGCCCATACGAGTGTGATACTTCTGTTTAGTTCGCTTGTTTGATTATCTCTTGATACACGAACCTCAAGCCAAGATATGCATAGGTATACTGTCAACCCTCTCAATCTCATTATCCCCAATGTTGATGTTAGATCTGGGAACGCGATTTATCACAAATTTTAATTTCTCCTCGTTGATATTTAGCCCGACTCTTGCACACACCTCCTTTAAGTCGTTCAGCATTAGTTTAATCTCTCCAAGGCTATCAAGAACTATATCGTCCGCGTAGCGCAAATTACTTAAGCATTTGCAATCAATGTTTATGCCTTTTTGGGTCCAATCCAGTTGTTTAAATGCACTCTGAGGACTATGATGAACAATTTTGGTTCAATAATGTATCGCCTTGTTTTACTCACACTTTACTACTTCGACTCTCTTCAGTACTTTCATGCAATTTTACCATAATTGTAGCATTATTGTAGATGTTATAAATAAGTTTGGTATATCGACTCTGCATTCTTGAAGTTCTTGCAAAACTGCCCTCAACTCAATTTAAATTAAATTTTATGAATACCTCTAAATACCCATCTTGGTTAAATACCCCCGGGCATATATCAAGGAAATTTACCTTTGAAAATAAATACCCGGGTATTTAACAACACTGTGTGTTATACACCACTAGAAAGAGCAGGAAATTTCCGATAAGATAGATATAGATCTAGAGTTTTCTCCTTGTCATATAAGAAAGTTATCGACCCGGACAAGCTTTAAAAATGGTTAAGACGTATGAATTTAGCAGATTTTGGCCAAAAATGTACTTGTGCAAGCGCTTGATCACCGAGTGTTATACACCACTAGAAAGAGCAGGAAATTTTCGATAAGATAAATATGGTTCTAGAGTTTTCTCCTGCTCATATAAGAAAGTTATCGCCGGAACAAGGTTTAAAAATAGCTAACAGGTATGAATTTAACAGTTTTTGGCCAAAAATGTACTTGTGCAAGCGCGTGATCACCGCGTGTTATAGACCACTAGAACGAGCAGAAAATTTCCGATAAGATAGATATAGTTCTAGAGTTTTCTCCTGGTCATATAACAAAGTTGCCGACCCGGATAAGCTTTAAAAATGGCTAAGACGTATGAATTGAGCAGTTTTTGGCCAAAAATGTACTTGTGCAAGCGCTTGATCACCGAGTGTTATACACCACTAGAAAGAGCAGGAAATTTCCGATAAGATAGATATAGTTCTAGAGTTTTCTCCTGGTCATATAAGGAAGTTACCGACCCGGACAAGGTTTAATAATGGCTAAAACGTATGAATTTAGCAGTTTTGGCCAAAAATGTACTTGTGCAAGCGCTTCATCGCCATTATACACCATTAGAAAGAGCAGAAAATTTTCGATAAGATAGATATACTTCTATAGTTTTCCCCCTATGAAATAAGAAAGATCTTTAAAGGAAGAGTATTTAAGCGTTTCTGCGTGTAGGGATGGATATTAAGAGTGATTTAAGCATGACGCCGATAGATATTGACCAACGAAAACCTAGATTACGATAGTTGAAGGAGCGCTCTTTCCGACTGTGATAACAGTATTTTAAAATTCGGTTTTATAATAATTGCACAAGGCCTTGAAGTTTGGTAATTTTGAGCTATTTTAAGTACAAAGCAATGTTCTTCATTTTTTATTGATCTTAATATCAACTTATGAGACGAAACCCCGGTTTTAGATAGAGAAAGATTCAAGCTTTCAAGTGGTGCATCTCTACTAATAAGGAAGATATGAGCTAAGAAAGTAGATATCGTTGCTATGGTCGCAGAGGTTTAAGAATTATCTCGGTAATAACGTAATAACGGTCACACGGTTGAGGACTAACAAAAAGTTGAATGCGAAGACACTAACCTCTCAAGATATATCCATCTCTCCTCTTGTATAGGCAGAATTCTTTTCTATAACTGCGAAAAATCTGCGAAAATTTTTTCTCCATAAATCAATCATAATTTTGACATTGTATTGTGTGAAAACATCTTGTATTCCGGTCGTCTGCCAACTTCTGTTATTATTACCGCATTATGGTGGAGAGAGGACGGTGCCATCAATCTAAGTAACGGAAAACAAAGAATTTCCCAAGAATCCGAATATCTTTAACTGTTAGTTTTCCGGTTCGCCTTCGCCTGCGTAACGTATCGATGTCTCGGTCAG